AAAATAGAAAAGAAAGGAGATAGAACTAGAGACTAGAACGTGTTAGTAAGAGAGAGGAACGATCAAAGTTGGATCAAAGGAGTTTGTTCATTCGCTGGCTTCATTCGTTGGCTCCCATTCGTTGCCTTCATGTATCTGGCATACAGCCAATGCAGATTTTCCGTCCTACCGTAATTTCCATTGCAGTAGCCCACCACCACCACCATCACCGTCACACAACCACGACTACCACCACTAACAGCATCAGCACTAGCACCATCAGAATGGTGCGACCTTAACTCGACCATTTTCTTTCCCAAAAGGTGAAAAGAGTGTGCAAGTAAAGAAAGAAAAAGGAAATAAATAAACAACAAAAAAACGAATAAGAGAAAGAGAGAGAGAGAGAGAGAGAGAGAGAGAAAGAAAACAGCATCATTGTACTTTACAATGCTTTTTTTCACCGAAAGAAAATGGACCCTTTTTCAGATCGATACATTCTTTACATCTGCTTTATATTTTCTCGTTATTATTTTTAATTATTTTGTTTTGTCACGTTAACATTGTACTTTTTAATTACGAGAGTCGATTAATTTATCCTATCTTTCTTAGAATAAATTTTAATCAAATGTTATTATTTTATTTTTGTAATTATTGTTAGAGAAAGCAAAATAATTACACGATTTTATGAATTAGAGAATAAACGAGGATTAATGTTAATTTAAAGAAAGAAATTTATATTTCATATTTTTTTTTTTTTTAATATTTTATATTATTATATTTATATTGAAAAATTTTTAAATATTTAAATTAAATATTAAATTAAAAATTTTAAATATTTAAATATATGCAATAATATTATACATATATAAAATATAAATTATTTTTTTATAAGTTATTGTGCTATTTGGTAATTGAAAAAATTCTTATTGCATAAATAGATATAAACTATATAAATTATTTTTAACTATAAATATATATATATATTATATCGTAAAATATATATGACTTTTCGAAGATGAGTAATTTAATCCGTCGTGATAAAAATATGTATAAATGAATCTCGGTACGTTTAATAAATTAATAATAATAAAAATAATAATATGAATAATAATAGTAATATTTGATCGAAAAGAAAATTTCTTTACAAACAATCCGTTTAAAATCGTTTTAAGTCAAACTTAAGTCGAACGATGATACATTTTTAATGAACATTATCAATTATTCATAATTAAATCGCGAAAAAGATTATTTATTCTTTTTTCACGTTCAACCAAGGATACGTGATCTTTAATTATTCTGTAAAATTTATTGTTCTATTAATAATCGGTGTTTCACATAATAATACCTTATTAAGAAAAGTATAAATATATTCTCTTATATGAAAGTACACACATACAATTTCTATAGATATTAAGTAATTATATTTGGTTGAAAGCCATTAAGAAAATTGAAAGAGAACGGTCATGTGATACTTTAACGTCTCTCATCGTTAAAACGATTGTCTCACAGGAAATTAATCTGAAATTAATCGTACGTATATCTAACAGCAGGATTGGTTGGTTGATATCGGTTTTCCACCATTTTCTATTTTACTCGAAGCTTTCAAACGAGCTTGACGAATCAAGATCATTGAAAAATGACACCCTTTTAGGGTTATAGAAAATTAATCCAATCTTTTTTTTTACAATTCATCGTAAGTTCATTCTTTTTAATATTTAAGCCTATTTTATCCAAACTATTCGATATATATATATATATATATATATATAGATATATACAACCTTAACGAGAATAATCACCATAGAAAGGTGATCATTTATTTTCATTTATTTTTAGTCATAATTACTCGAACCTTCTTCTCTACTTTTCTTCGATTTCCGTAGCCGACATCCGATTCTCCTACCAATTTCCTTTTACCTTTACAATTGTGAGTGGATTAAGCTCAAGGTTATATCTCTTCCAAGAACCTCCTTCCCATTCCCTTACTTCCTCGGTCAGTCACCTCAACTTTCCGATTATTTCGATCTTCTTTTCATTAAACTCTCGAACGAGATCTTTAATAAATTATCTTCAAAACTTTTCATTATGATTATGAACAATGAATATACATGCTATAGAGGAAAAATCTTGAAAAGTTAATTATCGATTATATTATTCTATCTATAAAAATCAATTCAAAGCCAAAGTCATTATTATTATCTTCGTCAAATATACTTTTTAATTTAATAACAATGCGAACTCTCGTTTTCATTCAATTTTATCATATTTAATTTATACAGTTTGATATATATATATATGTTATTTAAAAATTATATTTACAATTAATTAAATATTCTCATTTAAAATAAATTACTTTATTTTCTTTCAAATCATTTGTTCTTGGTAAAGCGTAATATACATTTTACCTAAATATAATATATAAATTATTCATCAGATTGCTTCAGGCTTTTTCTCATTCCTTTTTCTATCTCATATTCCACACACGATTACTTTATTAATAATATTTTGTAAAATTTTGTATAAACCTTTTGCTAAAGTTCAACGTACCATATTTTGTAATTACTTTCTTTATAATATAAATTCCTTTTTAATTTGTTTTTTTTTTCCCCTCCTACAAATTGTTACCGTCACATACATACACACACACACACAGAAAAAGAGAAATTTAATCCGAATAACCGAACTCAATCCATCCATCCATCCATCCATCCATCCATCCATCCAAGCAACCAACCAACCCTCCATCTATCCACCAACCCATTCATCCATCTATCCTGGGTGTCTTAAAACGTTCGTATATACTTCGGTAAAGCTTCAAAAGATAGAATTGTGTTAGTACGATCGTTGATCGATCACAATCCCGAACAAACCACATCTTCTAACAATGACAATATATATATATATATATATAGAATGAACAACTACTCACCCAAAGAGCTCATACATACATAAATATATATCATTATACATTACATACAAAGCACGTATTTCGTAGAATCCCGGAATTGAAATTTGATTTCACTTATACTCCTACGAATTTCAACGTACTTCTTTTCGCTATGCCGGAAACGGACATAAATGAAGTTTAACCATTGATTTTTACCTCATTTAAAATGGATCTTGCCAATCTTTAAGAATGACTTGAATTATATTATTCTTCTTCTTCTTCCTCCTATTTTTTTTTTTTTTTTTAGATTTATTTCATCGAGACTCTGAATTATCTATTCGACACATTTTCCTTCGTGATTCTTAAAAGAATAATCTTTTACGTTCACAGGATATCCGTTTTTGTAATTTCTTTTTCTACTCCCCCTCCCTCTCTCTCTCTCTCTTCCCTTTTTTTCTCTCTCTCTTTTAACAATAAACGAAACCGATAAATTCGTATAGAAGGGTAACCGTATCTTGCTTTTCCGTTTCATTGCATTGTGATCGAGCTGTGACCCGTACAACGATCGTACGCTCGATATACCACAATATCGCGGTATTGTCATTACATGTAGATATTTTTTCCTATTTTTCTTTTTTTTTCTTTTTATTTTTGTTTATTTTTGCAAGCAAAAATAATTGAAAGGAAAAAATAGAGAGAGAGAGAGAGAGAGAAAGAGAGAGAGAGAAAGAAAAAGGACACAAACTATCAACAATGTTTCATCGTTATCTATTGGAAATTTTTTTTCCTTTTTTTTTAATTTTGTTTTTTGAAATAATAAATGCAACTCTCTGTGTTAACTCCCGTTTACGTTAATACTGAATGTTTATTATTTCTATTTTTTTTTTAAGTGAAAACTTTTTTAGAATTGGGTGTGATTTGAAAAAATGAAACGCGGTGATGTAGTGGGGGAAAGAAACGGTCTTAATTTCATATAAAATACTAAATATTGTTCTAAAAATATGCATAAATTAATTACAATATAAGAGTTCAATTTTTATTATTATTTATAAAAATAGTTGATTTGCAAACATTTTTAAAAATGTTTAATTATTTAATTTCTTTGTAATTAGTATAAAAATGCGCGCCTATGTGAATGCAACCCTCCAGACATACTTTGGAAATGTTGCTTGCGAGCGCCATCTATAGGGACGGAATTTTTTCTGCCCGAAAGATAGGCAACCCGTCATACATACGTGTATAAACAGTTTTGACTACAAAAAAATTCGGTTTCAGTAGATGGCGCTCGCAAGCAACATTTTCATAGTTTGTCTGGAGAGTTGCATACGAACAGGCGCGCATTTTTATAATTAAATTAATAATTAAATAAATAATTACAAATTAAAAAAGGCAAATAACATTTTAATAATATTATATAATAAATCATCCTCGAAACTTGTTTATTTGAAGGTTTCACTTCTAACTTGTGTGATATGCGCACATGCTTTTTTTTTATTTTTTTTTATTTTTTTTTATTTTTTTTAAACTATAAATGCAACTTTCCGTATTAACACTCGTTTACGTTAATAGTGAATAATTATTACTTTTAATAATATTATTATCTCTCTTTCTAATTTTGGAATGAAATAATTAAAAGAACTAATAATGAACTATGCAGAGTAATTTAATATTTTAAGTAATTACTTCTATTTGAATATTATTCGGTTAATGAAATGAAATGAAATTAAAACTCATTCTTTAATGGATATTAATCATAATGAGGTATTTATCAATTTGGAATAGTGATATGTATATATTTTGAATTATTTAGGTATAATACAAGATTTTATTTGAAGGTTCAATCAAATTAAACTTTATAGTATTTATAATAATTTGATGATTTGTGTATAAAATATATATATTATATATTATATGTGTGCAATTGTAAGTATTATTATTATTATTATTGTTATTAAATATTCGATAAAACGATACGCATTATCTTTTATTAAATATTTCGTATGAATTCTTCCATTACCAATAAAAAACAAAAAAACAGTAAAAAAAGAAAAATAATTAATTTTTTTTTTCATCCTATCATTCGATACGATATGTACAATATATAAATATGTTTTTGTTTTGTTTTTCATTTCAGCAAAGTTGGACGGTGTTAAAACGTACATGAGAATGAGACGTGTACCTAATCATCTACAAGTTAAAGTTATCAAATGGTTCGATTATCTTTGGTTGACGCAAAAATGTTCCGACGAGGAGAAAGCTGTCAGCTGTCTTCCTGGTAAGTCAGACAAATATTTATCCTTAAAGTATAGTCTTCTTCTTCTTCTTCTTCTTCTTCTTCTTCTTCTTCTTCTTCTTCTTCTTCTTCTTCTTCTTCTTCTTCTTCTTCTTCTTCTTCTTCTTCTTNTCTTCTTCTTCTTCTTCTTCTTCTTCTTCTTCTTCTTCTTCTTCTTCTTCTTCTTCTTCTTCTTCTTCTTCTTCTTCTTCTTCTTCTTCTTCTTTCAAAGCACTTTCCTATACCTATATTTCTTACCTTTTTTCTCGTGTTATTTTATTCGAATTTCAACAAAAAATAAAAAAGAAAAAATATCTCGTTGAAAGTTTAAAACAGTTGTGTTAGGTTCGTGTCGTGTTAAGATAAATATTAAAACACGTTTAAAATAATCGATAATTAATAAATCATTTTATTAGTTTTGAAAATATATTTCGAGATGAGTTAACGTGTCAATTATTTTTCTATCAATTGAATTTTATTTCAATATTCGTTGTAATTAAATGTAGTGCAACGTGTAAGTTTATTAAATGTTTATTTAAACATGTGAGTGTGTGTTCGTGTGTGTGTGTAATTATAAAAGCGTGAGAACTATAATGTTACGTTTACATTTTTCTTTTAATTTTCTTTTTGTCAATAGATGAACGAACCGTCGTTTTAAAAATAATTATACAAATTTTGTCATAATAGAAATATTACAATTACTTGAAAAATATTTCACACAACGATGGATATACGATAGAAATAATATATAATTATTAAAAATTGTTAAATGATTTAGTTTAACTGAAAAAAACATATTATAATATAATAATATAATATTTTATATTTAATGTATATTCATATATGTATTTAATATTTAAATATTAAAAAAAAAACTTTTTAAGTTATTATTAAATTAAAGTTATTATTATTTTAAGCAAGCATCTTAAAATATAAAACTCACGTATTATATTATTTCATATGTTCATACTCATAAGCATACACAGACGGTAATGATTAATCTTGACCATAGTTAATTTCAAATAGCTGCCAGCTTGAATTTATTTAAGCTGCATGAAAATATTAAACGTAAGTGAAGAGAAACATCTCCTCTTTCTCTTTCTCTAACACACATACACACACGAACGAACGAATAAAATAGAATAGAACTTAGTTTTATTGGTGGATAACAAAAAAGAAAAAAATAAGTATCTACGTGAAATGACAGATGGTGGAAAACGTTGTTGAGACAGAAACACCGTGACGATGTTGCATACTAAAACATACAATTGATTTTGATATTCTACATGACGTTTTCCATCTATCTATCTATCTATCTATTTATCTATCTATCTATGCTTTTTCCCAACCCAACTTTTATTTATATGTGCATACACATTTGCAAATATAATATTTCGTTATTTGATATAAACGTGAAATTTTCTAACCACAATAAACAACAAATAAATATGATTTATCGTATGTACTTTATTTTTTATTATTTATTTTTTTGGTAAACAAAAACATCGATAAATTTCGAGTACGAAAATTGCAAGTGAAACTTCAAAGTTTGCAATGGAATATTTATTTTAACCTGTTAACTGCAGAGATCCTTTTTTAATTACGTACCTTTTTTTATTTTATTATTTATTTATTATTTTTTATATATTTATTTATTTATTATCTATTATTATTATGCTTAAAATAAATAAAAAGGCTATGAAATATATATTTTTTCGTTTATTTAAATATAAAGTACAAAGGTTTGTACCTTTAGCTTTAAAGTAATACGTTTGACGTATTTATACGTCCCACCTGGTTAACAGGTTAAATATCATTTGTAAGTTTTTCCCAAAGGTTTTACATTATGTTTTATCATTAACTCGTAAGAAACTTTGTTAACAACTTAAAAACAATTATACGATCAACGTTTGCAAATAATCTGACAAATCTGAACGTTAACAATTATTATTTATATTTTATCAGATACAAATATACAATATAAATAAATATTAACTAAAAATGCAAAATTATTTTCTTAATTCTTTCACTTTAATGATAGTACGTTCTCTTACAAATTAAAACGAATATTAATTGAATCAATCTATTAAAAGAGATGAAATTTAGAAACAAGATAATCTCAAATAACGGAGGATAATAATAATAATAATAATAATCTTGTTACTATTCACCGTATAAAAACAAAAATATAATCATTTAACGTCACGTTAACTTTAGAAACATTTTCAAATATATGCGATATTATATTATACATGCTTGAATAGTCGTAATAAAAAGGGGTTAACCGTGGTGGGAAAATATTAAATGAAAATTCACTGTAGTAAATTATTATTTTTATTATCAAAGTTAAACGTCATTCTCAATAATCCAACGGTAAAAGGAAATAGCATTGAGCGTTATAGAAGTCTTAACGAAGGAATAGGAAAGGTGGATAGGGTTGAAGTGGAACTTGGGGTTGGGGTTGGGGTTGGGATGAGGGTAGGAGTATTGAGGGAATCGTTTCGTTTCGCGAACTAGATGCATTTCTCGATGCAATAACGTTTCCATGAAATGCAGATTCTCGAAAGTTTCGAGCGATAATAATACGGTACCGATATTACAAAAGTAAGCGAATGAAATATTAATAAGGGGGTACTAAAAAATAAATAATAATAATAATAGTAATAATAATAATAATAATAAATTAATAAATTCTATTCGGTTCTTATGAGTGACGCGATAAACTCGAAACGTTGCGATTGATACTTTTATTTTTATTATTATTAATATTAATATTTTTATTATTATTATTATTATTATTATTATTATTATTATTATTATTATTACATTTTATACATCGAAAGTTAAAACCAATTAAAAAAAGAAAAAGAAAAACTCGTATATAATATTATATACGAGTTTTCTTTTTTTTTGTTGTTGTTATTTTTCATTTGCAGACAAGCTGAAGGCCGAGATAGCTATAAACGTGCATTTGGAAACACTTAGAAGGGTAGAAATATTTCAGAACACGGAAGCTGGTTTTCTATGCGAGTTGGTACTCAGATTGCGACCGGTACTTTTCTCACCTGGCGACTACATTTGTCGAAAAGGTATATTCTTTGTTTTATATTAATTATTTGCTAAATTTTCATTGGTTTTTTATTTTTTATTTTCACAAACCACACGACTAAAAGTTTTTTTTTTGCGAGTTGCACCCAACTTCGTCACATTCTTATATATGTATATATATATTATGTATTTGTACCCCTATATATATATATATATGTATATATTTAACATTGTGTATTATATTATTATTAATTATTATTATTAACATTGTTATAAATGTAATATATATCTATATATATGTATATGGATATATATATATATATATCTTCTACAATTTCAATGTTTTTTTCTCTTTTCTTTGCTGTATAATTTGTTTGGTTACTGTTTTTTTTTCTTCTTTTATTTTTTATATTTTTTTTATTTTCTTACAACACAATGCTTCCTCGTTAAGACGAAATTCTGGAAATACGCCAATCGATGTTCCGGAAAAGGATGGCCAAAAATGAACCCTCTCTCTCTTTCTCTCTTTCTCTTCGTATTTCTTTTCAACTTCCTTTTTATCCGGATTCCTTGGCAACAAGAACGATTCTACCGCGGAAAAATGAATTCGACGATCTCGATGCACTTCTATGTGCTACATTGCAATGTCTTTTTTTCGAAGGAAAGAAATACGGTTATACTAAGGATAAAATGATAAGACAAAACGGATAGTAACAAAGAAAAGGGTTTGTTTTTTTTTTTTTTTTATATTTTATTCGAGAGTGAGTTAAAACGAGAAAAGATCTCTTCAAAATACCAAAGATTAGTAATGAGTCCGAAAGACAAGACTTATACTTACTCGTTTGTTTTTTATTTCTCCTTTTTTCTTGGATAACGACGCCGAGAACGAATCGTATTATTTTGGTTGGAAAAATAATCCAAAAAAAAAAGAAAGAAAATAGAAAAATCTTGTAACCAGTTCAATAATTTTGATCACATTATATATATATGTATATAGTATGCAGTTAAATCGTAATAAAATATTTTCTGAATCTAATCTTTAAATTTGTTTCTTTTGATAATATAAAATTATTGTCATCGTTATAATAGTAATACCATAAGAAAATAAAAATAACGAATAGGAAGAAATAATTAATCGTTCTTTCAATTTTCTTCATTCTTTTTTTTTTTATCTGATTCAATGATTCGATCGAGTTTTGTGTTATAATATATTTAATAAGTATTAACAATTATTGCACAGAAGCACAGAAAGTTTGTTGTAGTTTATAAATAGATTTATATAGACTTATTATATGTTTGTAATATATTAAATATATTTTTTTTCACGATATCGGTTTAAGCTTTCCCAGCAAACATACGATTGCACATTATTATTTGTATTATTATTATTATTATTATTATTATTATTATTATTATTTGAAAAGTTTTGGTCAATATATGGTACGAATTATTCCGAGTAATCGAATATAATATTATATATAATATTATATATATAATATTATGTGGTAATGGATATATTAATTAGGTAGTATACACATTAACAGCTTTCGAACTTCAACGGTACATATTAAAAGAAATAAATTTACAATTACGCTAAATTACTATTAAATACATTAATTAAATTTATATTTAATTATATTTAAAATTATATTAAATTAATAATTATACTATATAATTTTATATTAACACTAGATTTACGAACTGAACCAATTTGACTCATATCAAATCAAAATTTTATTATTTTAAATATATATATAATTAATTTATATTAATTTATATTAATATAAAATTTATATTAATTAAAATTATATATTAAATAAAATTTAATATAAAATTAATATAAAATTAATATAAAATTAATATAAAAAATATTTAAAAAAAAAATATTAAAAAAAAAATATATATATATATATATTGATTTTCAATACAGTAAATAAAATATACGTAAATATTAATTCATCCCCTCCACCCACTTCTTCATTCAAAAACACAATGTTTATTAATTTAAAAAATAATAATAAAGAAAACATCTATAAATTTAGTTGTTAATTAATAATAATTAAATGAAATTGATATTTATTATAACGTTTGGGTGTTTATGTTGAACAGGTGAGGTAGGAAAGGAGATGTACATAGTTAACAGAGGTCGGCTCCAGGTTGTAGCCGATGATGGGAAGACAGTCCTCGCCACCCTTAAGGCGGGTTCATACTTCGGGGAGATCAGCATACTCAATATGGGGACTGCAGGTAAAGAGTGCGGTAAATATTCCAAGCGAAGCAGGGGCCCGTCAAAGCTGTGTCCCCCTTCGTTTTTCACGTTATCACGTTATCACGTTTTTCACGTTCTATACCACAATCTATGAGAGGTCAAGCCTACGATCCGGTATGAACCGATCTAAACTCATCTACGTTCATCTAACACATTATTATTATTATTATTATTATTATTATTATTATTATTATTATTATTATTATTATTATTATTATTATTATTATTATTATTATTATATNATTATTATTATTATTATTATTATTATTATTATTATTATTATTATTATTATTATTATTATTATTATTATTATTATTATATATAATTATCAATTCTATATCTATTACATATATATAGTATGCAGGTATATATTTATTAGGTTGTTTCCAAAATTTCCATTTAATTTTGTAACAATAAATCAATTTTACTATGCACAATGTTTAATATACGATTCTATATAAACAATAAATTATTGTACGATACGATCTATCGTAAAATAATAATTAAAAAGGTAATAAAATTTGTGTATAATGTGAAAATCAATAAGTTAAAACCTTGACGAATCTCTGACGACACCATGACGCAACTTTAATAAAACAACACCTTATATAATGAAATTTCTCGTATATTACTTGTAACAATATTTTTTAATTAAAATTATTTATTTTGAGAATTAAAATCACTAATCTAATCTTTCAATTTGCATGATCAAACATTTATTTCCTTTAATTTAAATAACACGAAAACAATGGCGGGATTTGGTATTTGCGGCAATGAACTTTCGAGCTCCTAATGCCAGTTAATAGTAATAATAATAATTTAAATAACAGTTAAATATAAAATATTATACGTGTAAAAAATTAAATTTTATGAAACAACAACAACAAATAAGAACTTTTGGAAAGACCTAATTTATATACATGTCAATGTAGATAGATATATATATATATATATATAATGTTCCTTACTATATCATTCTATTTCTCACATCGACGCCCTATTTGTCGACTTTTTCTTCTACTTTTTCTTCTTCTTCTTCTTCTACTACTACTTCTTCTTCTACTTCTTCGAAACGAGATCGACATTCACGCAATGACCCCGGCACCATTTGACGTCATCACTAACGTAGAATCACATGTACACACACATATACAAACAAACACATAGAACACACACACAATTTACACACATAAATGTGTGTTTTCTAACATACTGCGTCTTCTTTACTTTCGTTACAAGATTCTTTTCCCCTACATCGATTGCTCTCTCTTTTTTTTTTTTCTTCATTTATTCGACCAAAAGCTAATTCTATAAAGGTGAATTTTCTTTTTATTTTTTTTTACAAACTTCGATTGGATAAAGAAATCTTTTTACCTCCTATTTTTCTTCCTTTCATTTTCTGTTCGTTTCCTTTTACTGAAACCGTTTCGACACATTCAATTGAAATCTTAGAAAAATGAATTATTCTCATTTTAAGAAAATCGTTATCACGTTAAAGTTAGGTTTCGTTTGATTTTTCTTTTTTTTTTTTTAATTAAACTATTTTATCAAAAATAGAAGAAAAACGAGTTGCATTTCAATCCTTTCAGAGCAAATAACATTTTTTTTTTTTTTATTATAAATTTAAATATATTTATTATTATTATCGTAATTCGTAAGAAGTTTCGAACACCTTACCCTTCAAATAATTATACGTAATAACGAACAATAGTTTGAATAATAAAAATAATATTCTCTTTCTTTTCGAAGCTTATATTTAAATAAATTCAAATAAAAAAGTAAAGTTGAGCTATAATAAAAGGGATAATATTTTTTATCCCTTCCAACGAAATATTATTATACTCTAATGAATAGGTTACTTAAAAGATATAGTTAATAATGTTGGATTGAAATAATAAAAAAAGAAATAATAATAATAATAATAATAATAATAATAATAATAATAATAATAATAATAATAATAATAATAATAATAAAATCATCATTGCGTGAACATCGACAAGTTTCAAGAATAAAATCCGTAACACGTATGTATCATCACACCCTTTTAGTATCTTTCTATCTCTCTCTCTCTATCTCTCTCTCTCTCTCTCTCTCTCTCTGTTTCTTTCTTTCTTTGTCTGCCCTTTCATATATTATTCTACTCAATAATCACTATCTCACTTTACCTTTTCTCAATTTCGAACGATACGACTATCAAATTGGAATACGTTATCAAAATTTTGTGATTACCTTATTTTTTTTCGAACGCATTAATACGAAAACAAAAATAAAATCTAAATTTTGAAATTCACGTATGAAATAAAAACAAAAACAATAGATAATTATTATTAATTAACTATTTTGAATATAATTTATATTTTATATTAATTATATTTTTAATAAAATATTTTAAATAAAATTATATTAAAAATATAATTAATATAAGCTTGATTATTTATTCAAGCTTTTCGCTAACGAAACTTTTTGTTTTTCGAGTATTTCATTTTTTATTATTTTTTTTTTTTCTTTAAATAATTATTATTTACGAACGAAAAATTTCTAATGAATAATACATATTTCGCTTTTTGGTTGTTGTTGTTTTGAAATAAAATTGAAATTAATTATGAAAATGTAATATGACAATGTTGGGAAAAAAAAAATAATTAGAAAAAAAAAATGTATTATAATCTATTGTGTGTTGAATATTTTTATTATCGATAATTATTAGGTCGTATCGATCGATCGACATAATTATGTCGCTATAATAACTTCTTGGCCATTCGTATAATATTTCCAACGTGCTCTATAACGCTTTTGTAGTAGTATATTTAAGTAGTATACGAAATAGCTTCTTATATACGTATACAATATCACCCTAAATTATTATTCAATTTTCTTATCACAATTATTCTTATATTTAATTAATAATAGAAGTAATTCTTTCACTCATTCATTCATTAATTCATTAATTCATTAATTACTTCTCGGCTGAACCAACACGCTAATATTTTCGAAAAATTTCTAATCATTTCAACAAATATTCGTAAACAATACGAAAGCACTTGAGAAGATTTTGTAAATTACATTTTTTTTTATTTTTTTTTTTTTTTTAGATTTAAATCTTGAAAACACAGTTACGGATGATCACGAATTGTCGAATTCGATTAAATTTGACTTTTTCATTACAAAATTACGTTTTGATATTAACAGAAGGAAAAAATAAAGCAATTTACGAGTTGATCGTCCATAAATTTTTATTTTCAAGAATGATTTTCAATGATTTGCAAATACTTTGCGAAATAAAGATTTTTAATTAACAGAATATACTATCATCTTCATTGTTTTACACACATTGCACCATTTAACTTCTTTAATCTCTCTCTCTCTCTCTCTCTATCTCTCTTTTTCTTCAATTTTTAACCGTTGGTGTCACCAATGATCTATCATTGCTCTCAATCTAATTATTATTGCAATTTATGGCTATGTATTGCATATACACCCATTTTCCCACAAACCTCATCACCATCACGAATGTATTCTAAAATATGCAAGTTAAATTTTCTCTCGATTAACGTATACGATTTGATTACCGTAGTTATTAGCTTTTATCATTTTAGCAAATTATCTAAATATTAGTTCTTTATATCTTTAATATATATATAATAATAAAGATATAAAA